AAGACACACACACAGATACAGACACACACACAGATACATAGACACACACACACAGAGATACACACACACACACACACACACACCTCTTTAAGGAGTCTGAACAGTAAGGAAGCTTTTCATAAAAAACAATGAAGCTGCAGACAGGCTAACTTCAATAAAGAAACCACTCTGAGAATCATCTCACCCACTTTCTGCTCAGCTACGCCTTTGCCCTTTATTCTGGGAACCATGTCCACAGCTCGGCGGAGGAAACAGGGACGCCCTCATGTTCTTTGGTGGGAGGGCATATCTACTTACATGGCCAGTCAAGTTCTGACTTCACTGTGAAGCCTGTCCCTGGCCTACAGAAGAGGGACATAACAACTGGATCAGGCCAGCTCTGCCTCATGCTGCCTTGGTGTCTAATGAAGCCAAGATAGAGGAAAAGGGAGCGCAGCTGTCAGGGGCTGTCACCACCTGTGGTTTGGAACATACCGTACTCACTGGTAGTTGCGATGGACTTTGGGGGACAACAGGCACAGGAGAGGTGGAGGGAGGCACCACGGCCGATGGAACAGCTGCTATGTGGGGAAAGTCTCTGAGGTGTGCCATGTAGGAAGGAGGCTTAGCGGCTTGAATGTAGTGACATGTGTGTTCACGCTGCAGTGCACACAGGGAAGGCTGGGTACAGGGAAGGCTGGGTATAGCCCTTCAAGCCCTCACCGAGGAGACACCAGAGACAGAGTGTTACTTAAATCAGGGCAGCAGTTTGAAGGCCACAAACAGTTCAGTGCTTCCCAAGAGCAAGTTCCAGGGGCTGTGGGAGAGAGGCAGACTCTGCTGGGCACATCTGGGGCCAACTAGTTCACACACACCAAGCTTCGTGCAGTGGTTTAACCTTCTGTCAACTCAACTGGGTTTAGCAACACCTAGGAGATGGGGTGGCACACCCTGGGTATCTCTGTGAATGGGTTTCCAGAGAGGATTAGCTGGGTGCATGTGTGGGGGAGAGGGTCGTATTGTTCCACGCGCCCCGAGTCTGGCAAAAGTAGCTCACATACTTTGTGACCTGGAGCAAGTCACTTGCTTTCTGTGCCAAGTGCCAACAGCTACCTCGAAGGAAGGGCTGCTGAGGTTCAGAAGGAACTGGAGTCCCCCCGGGAGTTGGAGCAAACGACTGCTATGTTAAGGACTGTCCCCCATGACAAACAGGACAGGCGTGTGCATTCACAACAGGCAGCTCTCTAAACAGCCAGGAGGGGACCCAGAGGCTGACTCCAGGAAGACTAGTGACCTAGTTAAGACGACCAGGTCAGGTGAACAGTATATAAACCAGCAGGACATTCATACTTTCCAAACCAATTAAAAGCGTCTACCCACTTGCTAACTGTTTGCCTCTATCGTGTCCCATGAGAAGCAAACCCCAAGACTCAGTATTCAACCCCACCTGTACCTCTCACACTCTTGTCAACCAGATAAGATGGGCTGGGAGTGCTCTCCCTGGCCCACCTCCTACCTGATAGGAGCTCCAGGCTCTAGGCCTCCACTGCAAACTTCTCTCCCTGTCTGTCAAGTGAAGGCTGAGGCCAGCGTGCTCCTGCTCAGCCTTCACTGAAAGCAAGCGGGAAAGTCCCAGTGACTAGATTCAGGAGGCTCCCCAGCCCAGCAGGCAGGCTTTACATTCACGGCCACCACTCAGGCCCAACTGGAAACTGAGCGGCCTATGGCAATGGAAACTTGCTCCCTCTCCATCCAGAGGCTGGACGTCCTGGTGGCTAAGAGCAGGCAGGGTATGACTGCTGGGAACTCCATGGAGGAGTGCCACCTCGTATTCAGTCCATCACTGTTGCCATCTTTGTGTTGGCTGACTCACAGTGCTGTCACTCCAAGCCCTGTCTCTGTGTCACAGGGCCTTTCGGAGGGTAGGTTCACCCCTCAGCCTGCAACTTGAACTTCCCCTCTATGATGTTTGATGGTGGCCCATTCTGTCTACATTCCGGGTCTTGCCTAGGACCCTAGGAGAGGGTGCTGGGACTCTGAGGAGGTCTCCTAGGGAACTCAGACTCTCATGTCAGTGTTTAACATGGGGAAAGATCTGGTTCTTCATGGAGCATTGGGCAAGTCAGCCTAGGGTCACAGCATGCACTCCCGTGCTCACGGGAACTGCTCCTGCACCAAATGTGTACACTTCTACACCAAGTACACACCTGCGTGCACCAGGCTCCCACAGTTCTATACTGAGTACACATCACATGCATGGCTCATGCTAACTCTAGCTGGGTCTCCCAGGCCTGCCCTGGCCGCCACACACCATAAGGAAGCCTCTCATGTGGCTCATTCACCTGGCATTCTCCTAGCCACATCAAACATCCTGATGCTGGCTTTGATCTCAAACACTAGTCTAGCCTTAGCTGTACCTGTTCTGACCTCTCTCCCCTGCTTCCAGACAACACCTACCACACCAAGCTCATTTTAAAACATGTATTTATCTTTTAGGCTAGGCCTAGTGGCACAGACCTCTAATTCCAGCTACTCAGGAGGAGGAGGAGGCAGGAAAAAAGCCTGCCTGGGCTACACAGTGGGTTCAAGGCCAGCTTTCAGACATTATCTCAAAAAAAAAAAAAAGTAAAACAGGGCAGGGGATGGAGCTCAGTGGGGGACACTTGCCAAGCATGAATGAGGCTCTGTGCTCCAGCTCTGGGACCACACACACACAGACACACAGACACACAGACACAGACACACAGACACACAGACACACACACACACAGACACAGACACAGACACAGACACACACACACACACACACACACACCCTTTCCGGCACCTTCAAGAGTAGCTGGGCCCATCCACCTGTCTTGGATTTGGCTCTGGGACTGCATTTTAGAACATGTCTCAAAGCTATGTTAAGCCTCCCAGATTGTGGGGCTCTATGACCACAGCCCTGGAGGCAAATGCAGTCTAGTTGTAAGTGACCCAGACATGAGGCCACTCAGCTGAGGTCTGGTCTGCTGGTCCCACAATTTGGAGAGGACACACAATGGAGCAGATGACCCTCCTCATCTGCAGATGCAATCCACCACAGGCCAAAACCCTTTTAATTGCATCTATACAGAGTATCTACAGGCTCTTTCTAAAGTTATTGTGGTGTGTGTGTGTGGCATCAGTTGCCTCTTCCCACCATTACATGCCTTCTAGAGACGGAACACAAGTTGTCAGGCTGATGGCGGGCTCAGCCGTCTCAATAGCTCTTTCCCTGGACTACAGCATAATGTATTTACAGATGGCATGCACATTATGCTAGGTTTTACAAACAATCCAGAGAAGATTTAAAGTATGTGCAAGGGGGCTGGAGAGATGGCTCAGGAGTTAAGAGCACTGGTTGCCCTTCCAAAGCATCCCAGCAGCCACACGACAATTAACGACTGTGACTCCAGCCCCAGAGGAACTTCTGGCCTCTTCAGGCATTACATATGTATGGCATACTGACATAAAATGCCAGCAAAAAAAGATTTTTAAGTGTTTTTTAAAAGTGCATGAAAGGGTTATCTAGGATTTTATAATGGCTACACTATTTCTATATAAGAGACTTGAGCATCCCTGGCGTTTGGTCTCCAATACCTTGTGAAATAGTGAGGGACACTGTATGAGAGAATCTCAGGGTGTGGTCCAGAAATCAGAGGAAGTTCTCTAGAATGTTTCAACATCAGCACTAGAACATTCTGCTCTTGACTGGGCTTTGGAGATGCACAGCTACTTTCCCTGGGTAGCACTGGCCTCAAAGGACACTTCCATACGGCAATGCCTCGGTCACAGTGTGATGTCACAGTTTGTGTAATCATGGAAAGGCAGAAGAGCTGCCATGCTGGGGACATGGCTTTTGGGCTACTAGGAACAATATCCTACGGACCAGGTGCACACACGAAACAATAAAGGAGGGAACTCTTATAATAACTCACAACTCAGAAAGGCGGAAGTGTCTCCACTGATGGTCTTGCAAGACAAGAGATGCAAACGCTACCCAGGGGGAAAGGAATACCCTTGACCTCTGAACATTCTGTGGCAAGTCCCTTTTCCGTTCTCCATGCAAACATTCTAAATTAGCAGAGAAGCTGGGAAGAAGCTATAGGCAGGGAGCACGCAGGCTCTCTGTGGTAGTTTGAGTGTGGAATGGCCCCTTCAGGCTCCCATTTGAACACACAACCCCCATGTGTGGAGCTGTTTGGGAAAACTGTAGAGTTTTTAAGAGGTGAGTCACTGGGGCTTGAAGGAGTTTTTTTTCTTTATTTCTTTTCCTTTTAGCCTGGCCCTATTTGCTGTTTAGTCTTTGCTTCCTGAGTATGGATGCAATGTGACAGCCAGTTTCCTGCTCCTGCTACCATGCCTCCCTCACCATGACGGACTGTACCTCTAAGAACTGTCAACCAGACCCTTTGTCCCTTAAGGTGCTTTATCCAGGACACCTTATCACAGCCTTGGCCTTTCTTATTGTGCTCAACAGCACTCAAGTGACAATACTCATCTTCAGACCACAAGCAACTTATGACTCAGAAGGATACTCTCGCCTAACACACACATTTCCTTCACGTTTCTCCAGCCAGTGTGCTTCCCGCCCTGTGCTTCTAGGTGCCCAGGGCCCCAGAGAGAAAAGCTCAGGGTCTTTCATAAAGAGTCAAAGTTCCTAGACCCCAAAACCCAGGGACCAGAGCCATACCAGGGAGCACACTGGTCTTGGGTGCAGCCCTACCCTGGGCACTAGAAGTGAACATTTGTCCTCCCAAATCAGACCTCAGGAAGTTTCTAGTTCATGCCACTGAGTTCACACCACCAAGCTCACCACACTGGAAGACCGTGCTGACGACAAGCAGCAGGTGGAGACGGGTGTCACCGCACATGAAGGCAGGCTCAGCACCAAGTCACCAGCAGCTACCCTGTGGCCCTCATGCTGTTTGGCCAAGTGGCTAGAGGGAGGGCCCCACACAGCCCAGCACCCACCTGAAACCACAGCATCAATGCCTTACTTTTTCTGGACCGTGAGAAGAACCTGATGCCCCCGGGAGAGGTAGAGGGGTTGGAGTTGGGTGAAGACTCTTTAGACGAGGAGCGGAAGATCCCACTGAAGCTCATACGGCGTGGCGAGCGTGGAGGGGACTCCTGGTAGGAGAATGGGAACACAGTTTTGGGAGAGCCAGGGCTTGTCTTGGGTCTCACAGGAGCAGACACAGGGCTGGAGGGCCGAGGCTGGGGGCCCCTGTAGAAGAGTCCTCTGGAAGGGCTGCCTGAGCTAAAGGGACTGTCCACCTGCAGAAAGACAGACAAATGGGTGAGGTCACAATGCTCCAGACACTCTGAGCTCTGCCTGCAGTAGACCTGTCATTGTTGCTCCTTCCTACCTACACCAAGCAGATAAAGCAGCAGCCCTGAGCTCTTCCTGCAGAGGCGGCAATGAAATTGCCCCAACATCAGCACCTGTGCCACGATGCCCAACCCTGGGCTGATCAGCTCTTGTCCTGGAGGCCCTGGCCAACCTGCGAGGCTGTCTAATGAAGCCCTGGGGGAGGGGACAACCTGAAGGTGGGGGAGGAGGCCTAGCGCCACTCCTGCCTCTCCTGACTGCCCCATCCACATCTCTTGCCTCTTCCCATATTGGCTGTCATTCCTCAAGTCCTTCACTCGTTCTTTTCCAGGTCTGAGGATACAACTGTGGCTCTTTGTCCTCCCCCCACCCGACCCCAGGAGAAAAAGCATGAGTCTCTATGATCCAGAATGCATACTAGACCTTGGGCTCACTGGTAAGGATGCTGTAGGAGAAGGTGACAGATTTCACTCCAAGCTACTGTAGCATTTGAATGACTAAAGCCACTGGCAGAAGTCAGGAAAAGACCCCAGACTTCAGTGATGAGTTAAAAACATAGCCACAGTTTAAAAAATGACTAGGTCCCATAGCTTTAGGCCATGGCTACTGCTCACGAACATTCAGTATTGACAGTGCAAATGTATTCAGGGGCTTGCTTCCTGCAGGCTGGGTTTGGACCTCAGCTCTGCCCCTTACTGTGTCAGCATGCTCCGTGGTCCCACTGCCTCCGTTTCCTTCTTTGTGGCACAAAGACAGTCATATCCTCGGCTGGTAGGGCTGTTTGAGTGTTCACATGGACACACTATCACAGGGACTGATTTACAGCAATGATATACATGGTGATTTACTATGGTCCTATTACTTGTTTCTATTGTGACACTGGAGCCAAAGGGACCTAAGGGGACCCCACATCAGCAACAGAACACAAAGTAACTGTCATAGGCTCAGGGGACAAAGATCAAACCCTGGAAATGCTTGGTGTACACTGATAACCAGGGCCACACTAAGGAGCAAAGTCCCCAGAGAGGACGTGTGGACAACCAGTAGAGGGTGCCCCTGAGCTCCAACAGCAGGTATCTCAAAGACTAGGATGTCCATGTGGGACGCTCCTTCAGTGACCAGAAGTACCCCTCCATGTGATTCTCCACCTGCACCTAAGGAACTGGTGTCGTCACATGTAGGTGTAGGACCCACTTGGTGCCAACTCCTTCCTGAATAGCTTCTGAGGCAGAGACTGGTGTGCAACCAGGATCTTATAATTGAGCCATCTCCTTAGAAAGAAGTTTGGGGCCTGGAGAGATGGCTCAGTGGTTAAGAGCACTGGCTGCTCTTCCAGAGGTCCAGCGTTCAACTCACAACATTCACATGGCGTTCACAACTGTCTATAACTCCAGTACCAGGGATTCTGACACCCTCCCACAGGCATACATGCAGGCAAAATACCATGCATATAAAATAAGAATAAACACATCATAAAATATTTTTAAATTAGCTCAGATCAACTGCCCTCCTACTTACTATGAAGACCAGTGAGATTCCTTGCCTCTTCAGTTCAGCCACCATCCCATTTGCCTATGGGACTCAGGATTGCTACTGAGAATGAACTTTTAAAGCAAGGGGTTCTTCAAGTGGTGGGTGGGTTGCCACGGGGTAAGGAATAGGGTACCAAGAGACCCTACCTGCAGTAGAAACCATGCCCACAGGAAACAGAAGATGACAGACCGAGCAAGGATTTGGTCAGAGCCCTGAGTATGAGCCCAGCAATGTGGATGGACGAGTGAGCTGGCCCTCTGCATCTGACCCTCCTCTATACAATGGGGATGCTAGACTGCTTTATGCGCTTTATGGGATGCAAAGATGACAGGCTGTGATCTACAGGAGAGATGTTTAACATGGTTCTTGGTACACGAGGAGTCCTTCATACATGTCTGACCAGCAGCATCACCGTGCATTAAAGGGTGCTTAAAGGAGAAAGGCCTTATATTCTGGAAAAGGAGGAAAGCTGAGTTTCAAGCATACCTTAGTTATGAGAGCTCCAGGGTTCCAGGACCTGCTCCCTGACTGTGGAGACCATGGTGGCTCCAGAACTAGGCAGGCATTGGCTTCAGGTATATATGAAGTCCATCATTCTTCATCACTGGATGCCACTACATCTGATGGCAGAAGGCTCTAGCTGGCACCACAGCAGACATCATAAAAGTTAATGAGTGTTCCGACCTCAAGGCCTGCAGCTTTAACCCTGATACTACATACCTAGTAACATTACAGAAATGCTCAGGGGACCAAAGAGGCAAGGCCAGGGAAAGAGTCCAGAGAGGAGGTCACCTCTGGAGTCCCCAAAGACTGGCCCACAGCACTCCTCCTACTATGTTGTGTAGCTTGCCTTGCACATAGCCTTGGCCTAATGAGGAGATGGTGTCCCAGGCAAATGCCAGCCTTCAGCTCTAGAGAGAAGACACAGGCAGATGGGGAAGCAGTAGGCCTCCCAGGAGATCACGGAATGAGGTGAAATGCCAGAAGCATGAAGCAGATGAAGGGATGCCCAGGAGAGACAAAACCGCCTATCACAGGGACCCCAGACAGAGAAGATCCTGAAGTCTACATGGCTTTGGACAGGATGATGGGCAAGGGAGAGGAGACATTCTGGAGTGGGATCTGAGAAGCAGCCAGGTCTCAGATACAGAGGGCTAATGCATGATCTACTCAGGGACTCACTCACAGGAGGAGTTGAGCCAAGTCTCAGATACAGAGAGCTAACACATAATCTACTCATGAGAGGTAAATGCCAGCAAAGACTCAAATCTTTTTTGATTGGCAAGGGAGTCCCCAAGACCCCACTGACTGAGAATCCAATCTATATATTCAGAACTATAGACCCCCAAGAATTAGAAACTCAGCCTTCTGGCAGAGAAGGGAGCCCCAGAAAACAGACCTTCTATTTCTTCCGCTAAAAATGTTCAAAGAGCAGAGGATGCTGGGCCCCTGCAGATCCCATCTTCCCTGCCTGTTTCCTGGAAGGGGCTTGCAGGAAACAGCAGACCATGGGCGTCTCCAGAGCCACCAGGGATGGCCATTCCCAGGCTATTAGGCTAGCTGAAGCAAAATGATACTCTGCTCAAAACCACTGTATGATTCTCTGGGTATGGCTGAGACTCCCCGGTGTGCACCCGGCTTCACAAGAGCTAATAGTGAGGAGGCGCTTGGGCTCTTTAAGGCAGAGTTTCCCAGACAGGGCAAACTCCATGTTTGTCAGGGAACCACTAGGCAGGAAGCTAGTGCTCTGGTCTTAGCTGGGCTGGCCTTTCCACCACACGGAAGAGGAGGCAGCAGCAGGTGAGAAAGGGAGGGAAGAGCATGGGGGATGGCTTCAGGACTGATCAGGAGGGATTAGCAAGGCAGGTATCCATGCCCTTGAAGATGAAGGGAAGGGCACAGAACAAGGTTAAAGGAGCTAGGAAGGCAGCTGGGGAGAGGAAGTCCAAAGCCAGGGCACCTAAGGTCTAGTCTTGGAGTCCAGTAATGAATCCAGCTACTCAGGCTGAAGAGCCAAAAGCGGGGCAGCTGTGCTGTTTCCAGGAGAGAGGATCTGAGATCAGTCTTCAGCCAGAAATGGATGGAAATCAAGTGATGTCTGTGGCCCTGCCCGGTGAACACTCCCCGTGAGTGAGGGAACGATGCACGCTGTCCTTCCTCACATGAGCGGCCAGTGCTGACTGCCCTTCCAGACCTGCTGGATTGCAGGCACCATCTGCACCTGTCCCTGAGTGATGCGGTGTAACCCTCAACCACTTTGGCAAGCACAATTCCTGGCCCTGCGTGGTCAGGAGGGAGGCGTGTTCAAAGAGAGACTGTCCTGTCTAAGGCCGACTGCTAGAAATGAGAGAGCGGCCAGGCAGTGATGGCAGGATCAATGCACGGAGACGAAAGCCAGTCATTTGTTGGGTGTGTGCTGCGCCGTTCCACAGACTCCCTTGGCTGATTAGTCACTGCAATGCAACTCATGCTTCCTGGCTAGTTCTGACTCGGTAGATATATACAAGAACCACACAGTCAGTCCACTAGAGACACACAGTCAGTCCACTAGAGACACACAATCAGTCCACTAGAACCACACAGTCAGTCCACTAGAGACACACAGTCAGTCCACTAGAGACACACAGTCAGTCCACTAGAGACACACAGTCAGCTGAGCAGAGTGCCACACAAAGATATGTTATGACAACAAAGAACTGCTCCCTCTTAGGGACGGGGTACAAGGAAGTGGGCAGAGAGGGTCAGACTAAGTAAGAATCTAACTGAGGTTCTCTCCCGTGTTTCCATTTTGAGCAAGGTCAACGCTATGAAGAACTGAACAGGGGCAGAGGCATACCTTTCTGGGGCAACATGGAAATTTTCCTGGATGCCAGTGACCTCACTATCTCCTGAAAGGCCTCTTTGACTGTCACCAGCACTAGAGGTTCCTGAGGGCTGTGACAATAGCATTGAGGTGTCCCCAGGCCTAGGGGGAGTTGCTCTCTAGGGGTGGGGACACCAAGCTGCAATGCCCACGGGAGCTCCCTTTCCACCACACCAAGCTGCTCAGGAGAGGCCCCGCCTCCAAGCTGCAGCCATCTGGAGACTGTGGATGAAGGAGAAGACATGTGCTCTACAGTCCCAGCCTGTACATCGTCTGACACTGCACTGTCACTGTAGGACACATCCCTCCTGGGCATGGTCCCTCCTCACCAGGCCCACAGGATGGGCTAGGCTAATCCAGCAAATATTGGATGAAGGCAAGAATACCTCCAGGACCTTTCCCTCCCATCTGACTTGTTAGTGCTACCCACAGCCTCTCTCTGAACTTGTGGGTCCACCAGGAAAGCCCCCCCTCGAAGCCCCTCTGCCTCAGCCTGTGTTCCCACTGGGCTTTCCAAGCAGGGCAGAGGCCTGAGGGCCTCCAGGCTATACTACAGGCACTGAGCTGGAAGGTGCCTGCCAGCCCAGGCCCCAGGCCATTTTCTGACAGTCTTTCTGGCAGGGCCACAATAACTGCTAATAAGGTTGTTTGGGCAGGGCAGGGTGGGGCAGGGGGACTGACTGCCAAGTGAGCCCCATGGGCCTAAACCAATTTGTTGATTCAATTGTATGGGATTCAAACACTCAGAGAATAGAGTCCTTTTTTTCCAGGATGGGAACTCCTGCCCTAATCCCAGGCTGGAGAGTACCCAGCAGCCACTCAGAGATGCTGCAGCCCCTCCCGGTGGTCATAAGATGCTACTTCCCGACTGCAGGGGAAGTTGGCAGGCTGCCTTCACCCCCTCCTTTGATGGCCAAAGTAACCTCCCACCTGCCACCACCACCTTCTCCTCATGCGTGGCCTGGCTCTGTATGGCCAATAGCCTTGGTTATGTCATGGTTCCTTTCTTTCTTCCTTCCTTCCTTCCTTCCTTCCTTCCTTCCTTCCTTCCTTCCTTTCTTTCTTTTATGTCATGGTTTCTTAATGGTAGAAAAAAGTTGTGAGGGAGGGGAGAACAGTGAGTTAAAGAGAGAAGGGCAAATGGATGCAGTCAAGGGACAGGTCAGAGGAGAGATGACCTCACCCCCAAGGCCTATGGGCACAGTGTAGGACAAACTCCTGTCTGTGGTAACACTAAAGAACACAGCTATCCTCAACTTTACTGCTTTTAGCCTCATCTTTGCTATCCTAGCTCAGCTCACTGCTAGCCCTCCTTCACACCCACTCACTCTGGAGACACTGGTGATGGCAGTCAGCCCACAGCGAGGGCAGGAGGAAGGAGTGGAGCCCAGAGGATTCGGCGATCAGCGCAGCCAGCAACACAGCAGGCATGGCCCTGTGAGGTGAGCTGTCTCAGGATGGCTCAGCCACACCAACCCATATGCTGGTGTGAGCCCACAAACTAAACCTGAAAGGATGTCTCAGACTCTGCCTGCCTTGGGGCAGCTCAGGTGGGGTGGGGAGCATCTTTGGAAAGGGGAACCTTACCTTCCGAGAAGAGTGCTTTTCCGAACTCTCCACATCTCCATCCAGGAGTGGCATGGCAAAGGAGCTCAGGTCCTGGGAGGAAGAGAGCACAAAGTCAAGGTTGTGGCCCTTGGGGCAGCTGTGCATGCTCTAAGAGGGAACCACTGCCCTCTCTAAAAGTTCCTAAGAACCAGCCGCAGGGAGACACAGTTGCAAAGACCCTGGTAGGAATAACTATGCTAAAGAGATACTGTATTCCTCCCTTTGGCTACCAGCCTAACGAAATAATGGAACTGAGAAATTGGTATTTCTTCAGGACTCTCAGCTTCCTGAGGAAAGGGCTATAAAGCTTTGTGCCAGCCTTATTGCCAGTTAAGAAATTTCACATCATTCTGAGAAGCTGTGAGAACACCTTGCAAAACACACTGGAGCCAAGAGACAATGATGGGCTAATGATGGGTGGACCACACCTTAACCAGGACATGGACTTATGCAAACCCCTTGCCCTCTACTTAAATCTTGAGTCTCATGCCAAGACTCACAAGATGGGAAGGAAGGGGCAGGGAGGTGGCTGGGCCTCTCACTCTCTAGTGTGGTCACACCGAATGAATGCTTTCCTGCACTTCACTGTTGCTTTCTACTTGGCTGGCATGATGAAGAAGGTCTGAGTCTAGGTGAAGGAAGCCACACTCAGTCGCCAGCCCTAACAACTCCGACAGCATAGGGGATGCTCACCCTTATCTCCATTCCTTTCCAGAATGTCAAGCAGGATGTCCAACAATAGCCACCCCTCCCCCCCCAGCAAGCCAGAAAAAAGACAAAGGCCCAGACCAAAGGGATAAAAACATAAGGAGTCCAGGCAGGCAGGCTGAAAGAGTAAGTGGCCTATCGGGATGATCTGGGCAGTGGCTGATGGACAGGACCTTTACACTTGACATGAAACACGCAGCTTCTTGGAAGAGGTCCAAGGAAGCGTGTCTCCTGGAAAGATGAGCACACTTGAGCAGGGTGATGCTGGAGCAACAGATGAAGCTTAATGAAAGTGGTGGAGGTGAACAGGAGTTGGGTTATAGCAGTTTCTTTTCCCGTTGCTGGGATTAAATTCCCAGACAAAAGCAACTTCATCGAGATTGGGTTTCTTTCCGTTCATAGTTTGGGTACAGCCCATCAGGGAAGCTGAGGCAGCAGGAGCTTGCAGCAGCGGGTCACACACATCCATAACCAGGGATGGAGAGTCATAAAACACAAGCTTGTGCTCAGCTCACCCCCGGGAATGGTCGGTCCACAGTTAAGATGGGTCTTCATTTAACCCGATGAAGATCCGGTTAGCTGACAGTTAGCGCTGACCACCACAGGGGTCTGAAGGAGACCAGGGAGGGCTGGCAGCTCTCGGCTGAGTCAGGTGTGAGTCAGAAGTGTTTCTCCAGCCTTGCTCTTCCTGTGCCCTGCATCTGACCTTGGAAAAGCCTGCACACCAGATGGGACCACCTGGACACCCATAAGCCTACAAAAATTGGCATCCTTAACACTTCCTTTTTGTTTATTAAAAAATAATTGGAAGCCAGGCAGTGATGGTGCATGCCTTTAATACCAGCACTAGGGAATCAGAGGCAGGTAGATCTCTGTGAGTTCAAGACCAGCCTGGTCTACAAGAGCTAGTTCCAGGACAGCCTCCAAAGCCACAGAGAAACCCTGCCTTGAAAAACCAAAAAAAATTGGAGTAAAAATATATACAATAAAAATTATCATCGGGCCTGTTTGTGTGTGTTATGCTGGAACGGACCCAAGGTTTTATATATGCTAGGCAAGCACTGTTACTTAAAGGTAACCATCTTTTTAAGTACATAATTCAGAGGCGGTTAAGTACACTTGGCTCCAATTTACATCTGTCATTATAACTGTCATGAGTATGCTATGTCAAAAACAGACATGAACACTCTTTTCTACAAAGTCATCATTTACTGAGTAAAAATTGATTCACTAGCTATTTCAGTTTCCTTGGCTGGAATTTGTCAAGTAATCCCCGTTTCCTTCATAGCCAGCTGAGACAAACATGGGTTCTTTTATTCCAATCTTAACTGCTACTGCTAATTCTCAGTTCACACATTATGTATCACACAGTAAACATACCTGTGTGGACATATACATGCAGGTAACAGAATACCAATGAAGGGTTCAGAAGGCTGACAGAGTTCAAGGAGTTCCAACAAGGCCTTGCTGATAAGGGTGGGAAGGGAGGCAGTGAAAGACATTGGATCAGATACGAGCCCAGTCAGAAGCAGCGTTTGTGGATTCCAGCCAAGCCACGTAGTCAGAGTTGAGTTGAGTCAGGCTGCAGAGGTGAGGTATGAGATGCTGGGCATAGGCACTACAGAGGCAAAGACAGAAGTAGGCCCAGACACATAAACGCTCCATTAAAGCAGGGACCAACCCAAGCTGAGGTCTCAGACAGTTGGGAGTTCTCTGCCTATTATGCTCTCACGCGCTGTCTCTCTGTTTCTCTGTCTCTGTCTCTCTCTCTCTCTGTGTCTCTTTCACTCACACTCTCTCTGTCTCTGTCCGTCCGTCCGTGTCTCTCTCTCTCTCCCTCCCTCCCCCTCTCCTGCTGCCATGTTTCCCTGCCATAACAGACCCCATCCCTCTGGAGCAATGAGATCAAACACACTCTTGCTTCTTTAAGTTGCCTTGGTCATGGTGTTTTATCAGCAATAGAAAGAGTTATGCACACATGCACATCACCTGGTCATACGACAGACCTCTTGGGGGCTGGGTGAGGAGGCTACACCCTTCCCTCAGTTTGGTCGGATGAGTTCTCTCACACCTGGCTCCTGATAGGATTTTAATACTCTCCTGTGCTAATGTGAACTCCATTTACTTTGAAAAATTGGTCGGGTGGTATCTTTTTACTTTTAGGAATCTGTCATTTATCAGTCTGTGCCATGGGTGGTATTGGACAGATGGCGTTGTTTGCATGCCACCAAGTTGCGGAGTCATTTTCCACAGCAGCTTGTAAGATGGAGTCTCCCAGGGAAGAGGCTCTGCCTGAAAACCATTTTCTACACTGTACGGAACAACTGAGCACAGGGTACAACCTGATCACAACAATATCTGTTTCCAGAAACGTCATCTCTTTAGGAAGAAACTCTGTAATCATCAACGCCAAATCTTCATCCTCCCTCCCTGACCCAGAAAAATCCTCTCTAGCTCTGTCTCTATGAATCTGACAACTCTGGGATCTGCAGCAGAGAAAACGACTGTTGTCTGCCTGTGGCTGGCTTATTTCAGTTAGCAGAGTCCTCAAGGGTCATCGGGTGTCAGCCTGTGGGGGGTGTACATAATGCATCAGGATCTCTTTTATCTCTCTCCTCTTTAAAGCAAATCATTTCCAGGTTATGACAGGCCACATTTTGCTTATTTCATCTATAAGTTGATGGGCCCCAGGGATGCCCAGCCTTGGGCTCACGCCCAATTCACAGGTTGAAATCCTGACTCCCAAGATTCAGAAGGGAGCTGTGTTTGGAAGTGGGCTCTTTAAAGGTGTAATTACACTGAATCAAGATCGTTAGCATGAGTGCTGATCTAACAGGAAAAGTGCACGAGGAGAAGGGCACACACAGGGGTATGCATGCATGATGACCAGGCAGAAAGCTCCAACTGGAGCCAGGGGGGGGGCTCAGAGCAATCCACTCTGCCTACACCTTAACCTCCGACTTCTGACCTCCAGACCTGTGAGAAAATGAATTATACTTTGCTGTGATGACCTTGCAAACTCAGAGAACAGGCCTAAGAATATATCTGCATGGCTTTGCTTTTGATTGTGTCTTGGTGAATATAGAGAAGCAGAATTGCCGGGCACAGGGTGATTCTATGCTGTTATAGCACAGCAGTATGCTGTTTGCTACAGTGGCGGTGCCATGGTACTCTCCCATTAACAGTACACCATTTCCTTTGTCCATGTATGTATATACGTATGTATGCATGTATGTGTGTGTGTGTATGCAGGTATGTATGTATGACCTATTTATGTACCCACCTATTTACCTATCTATTAAGCATCTGTCTAATTCACAGTACTGGGGATTGAACCCTTGTGCATGTTAGGCAAGCACTCTATCGTGAGTTCTGTCCTGGCAGCAATGTCCCCACATTCTAACCAACCTTTGTAACCTTCTGCTGTCTTGCTCACAGTAGATCCCCACTAGGGTGAGAGGGGTATCGCACATTCACTTGCATTTCTCTGGAGCCCAGCAGCCTTTTGCTTGCTATTGAGTGTCTTGTTAGTCTCTGGGAGAGGTCTGTCAGGTCCTTTGCCAGGCTTACAGTCAGCTTATGTTGTTAGGCCGTAGGGATTCTTTATGAATCCTACACCCTAGCCTTTTATTTCATACATGAGTGCAGACATCTCATTCTGTGTGTGGCTCCTTCACTCTTCTGGCTGTGCCTGGAGATGCGGAGACAGCTCTGATCTGAGTTAGTTGCCTCATCTATTTTCCCTTTTGTCCCTCTGCTCACAAGGCTGTACTCAAGAAACCATTGTCAAATCTAGAATCTCGAGGCTTTCCCTAGACACTCTTTATACTTAAGCACATTTAGGTCTCTGGTCCATTTGGAACGGTCTTTACCATGGCATCACGTAACTGTGCCGCATTGCCCTTTGCACGTGGGCGTTCAGCTTCTCCAGTGCTGCTTGGTGAGGCTATGGCCCTTGCCCCACTGGCGAGTCTTTCACCCCATCAACAGTCAAATACAGGCTAGAGAGACGGCGCAGTGGGGAAGGTGCTCGCGGCCAAGTCTGATGGCCTTGGTTTGGTCCCTGGGGTCACAAGCTGAGAAGGAGCCCTGGCTCCTGAAAGCTGTTCACTGACTCCACATGTGTGCCGTGGCATGTATGCATGTGCATGCATGCATGCATACATATACCCCTCCACCCACACACACTAAATTCAGTGTAAAAACGTAATTTGGTCATGTCTGAGGGTGTCTATTGCTCTGGGTTTCCACGCAACTTGGGGATGAAAGGGTTTATTCCATCTTACAGTTCATTTCCACTGAAGAAGTCAGGACAGACACCCAAGCGGGTCAGGAACCTGGAG